TTATTTTTCTCACAAAAAGGATTTATATGAGAATAATGACAAAACTGCCAAAAGGTTTTTGAAACTGTCCTTTTTTCTCATATTGTTAAATTCGTTTTTACAATCGTTTACTAAATTCAAAAAGCAAAATAACAAATCTATTACATTTTCAATCCTATGTGTTTCCCACGATTATTAAGTCACAAACAGGTTCTGTTTAGGTCTATGATAAATTTTCTACGCGTTTCTTCCGTTTAACTACAGCAAACTTTGCTGAAAAGTAATAAATATGAAATAATACAAATGTATATGAAGACCAATGAGGAAATACAAAGAAAATAACAGGTTTATTTCTGTAAGGAAAAGTGTCGTCCGGGTCTTCTGTTTCCAAGGGCCCGCTTCCAATGTCACGATTTCCGCTCAAGATGTTAATTGGTAGACAAATTAATCACACAGGGTTTCAAGAGATGCAGATTGATGTTAAAAAATAAAGGTAAGTTTTACTGTCATCCTATAAATCGCTTTGAGAAGTAGTCTGCTTCTGTATGTGATGTGATTTTTATGATTTTCCGATTCAACTATTTTTTTGTTCGTGTTCTGCCCAGGTTTTATTGAATTTGTTTTTCTTTTCTTTTTTCCTTTTTTTTTCATTTTCAATTGATTAGTCATTAATAATTAGTATAAATTGCGCTTAGAATGTTCAGTGTAATAGTAATATCTCAAGAGAATAGGCTTAAATAGTCATCGTAATGTATAATTTTTTTCTGATCGTTCCATATCGATTAATTGTGATAAATTTTCACCACCCAAAATCCTCCCAGTACACTTGATTAACCTTAGAGCGGGAAATTCTGTTTTATGATATTTGCTTTTAAAACTACTTACTGAACCAATTAAATACACCAGCCAAGGTTTGAACTGGTTTTATGTGTTGGCGGGAATACTTGTCGTGTTACAATCCATCATAATGACAGAATATTTAAACACCTCCTACCCAATAAAAGATTTCACAAATTATATAAAGATGATAGTGATCTTTTCGCTAAAAATCTTAATGTGTGCGCCCAACGTGGTCTAAATATATTATTTATCATACGATGACGTAATCAAATAACTTGTATTTTTTTTTTTTTTTTTTTTTTCAAAGTCCAATGATATAACGATCTCGTTTAACAGTATATCACCTTCTCGAACCCGCATTCGTTGTATACATTAATGGATAGCATAAATTGGAGAAATAATATCTTCATATCTCATACTATTGAGATTTCAGCCTTTTCTTCGCCTATCACAAATTTCAGAAAGATAGTAATCGTGAAATAAGAGTGACAACTGTTTTCAAAAATTCAAAAAATGAAGACAAGACAGAAAGAAATGGAATTAAATACATTATTTTATCGATTTTATCGATTTATCGATGCAAACAGGCATGCTCTTTCGCAATATGGCTAACGCTTGTTATATCAGGATAAAAAAAGAAGTTGTTCACATATAAATAAAAATTAAAATGACAAGAAATGACTTTCCCTTATCAATGGCGATAAACATTTTTTAAAGAATTTTATCATCGCTCCAAAGATCTCATTGGGACAAAATGAGATTCTTTTGTGCGACAAAATGTCAGACGTTTGCAATGCTTGTTGGTGTAGGCAGTGGATTCGTTGATGTGATACTTGTTATACTCTAGTGCGCGGTGTGAAGCGACGTTATTAGTTATAATATTTATCGATATGTTGTGACCATCGAGCGGATCATCATGAGACATATTGCCTCGTGTATAGGCGAGTTATCGAACACTTGCGTTATTCTAGGCTGGTGTTAACATCCGGGTATTCTGTATGAGTCCGTGTTCTTTGTATCGTGCGCAATGTACGCCTACCGGTTGATATGGTGTTTTTAAAAAATTACATGTTATGTCAATCATAAGCCTGTTTTAGATGTTCATTGGTTAACATTACAAACATATCACGTTATTGAAATACCTTTTACTGATTGATAATTTCTGACCCTAATATTGTAATTTTTAATGAAGTACATATTGATTACATGCGTAATCAGATGGAAAATACAGAAACTGGACTCTGGATCGGGGTTGTCTGTGTTTAAGCTTTAGATGATGAAACTCCGCCACTTAACTAACGAATATGACAATAAGATTGAGGTGTAAGTTAGAAGCTCAGTGAGAAAGCTTTATGTAGACGTTTTAATCTTATTCATGTTAAGGTGTAAACGTATATTATGTCGGACCAACTGATTGCAAAATGTTATTTAAACCCATAAAGAAAGTTGATAACGGTCTTTAAATTTTAATGGTCGTGTTTCACTATTATAAAATATAGGTAGCTACTCCAAATAGGGTCAACAACTTATATGAATCATCCGTTGACATTTTTATATCTATTATCGTTAAAAGTTTTGTTGAAAATTCTGTTGTAATGGCATCTAGCGTAGAAATCACATTTACAGTACCTTTCTCCATGATAACGATTGTAGACAAAGTGTTAGAAGATAACAACAAGGTCAATTTTGGCTACGAGTCAAACATTCGTCGGGTGGTGTTGTATACAATGAGGTTACACAACGAATGGCTATTGTATATGATATTTCTTTCGCTCGAAAATTTTCATGAGTTTCTAAAATGTTTCACTACAAATTTTCTTATGTTTTATATATTTTTTCTAACTAACTAAGAATGAAACATCATATCTAAAACTTGGAGTTTGTTTCTATCATATTAAAAAAAATAACTATTATGCATACCATCCAATTTCAGAATTAGGCAAAACAATTATAATCCATTACAAGTCGCTAGAAGTAATGAATGCGGTCTTATCTTCAAACAACAAATTTCTAAAATTCTATATAAGAATCAAAAACTGTAAATGAATAAATAAATAAAAACAAAAAGAATCAAGAACTAGATATTACGCGTTTTTGTTTCAGTGATTGTGTGAGATGTGTGCTTTCAGTCAAAATAGAGTTTCAATCAATTAAAAGTTCTGGAAGGCCATATACCACTAATGGTACAGCGTACATATCTATTCAGCTATCAGCACTATCACAAAATGGTCTGAGCGTAGAATAACGTTTAGCGATATAAATCAATGCACGTGATGGAATCTTAAAGACTTTCCCATTATTGTTTTTTATTATTATTATTTCAGAACAACAAGAGTTTCATATGCATTATTTATTGTCCTATGTCCAAATGTCACCCTGAAATCTTACACTGGCTGTATTGTAAAAACTTTTCTTCAAGGTTAAATCTGTTTTGTAACGAGACGATTTACCTTACTATATCGATATAATCAGATCAGTGCATTGTTTTATATGTACATGAAAATGTGACAAAACTGCTTCCTTTTTCTGACATGCATTCACTGTATTCTTTCAGCTGTTTAAGTAAAATGATATGATTTAGTAATAAGCGAAACCCAGTTCTGAAATGATGTCTTTAGAATAAAAACAGAAAGATATGATTTGTCAAGATCGGAGTCAATAAGGAAGAGGTCATATACACAGTAGATGAGGTTTTGGCAGTCAGAATGTTGTTTATACGTCACGTGATACTAGCATAACAATGGTTAAGTAAATTCTGTATATTGAATCATACCAACAGGAAACATATTGTTGTATGAAAATATAAAATTATAATGAATGTGACAGGCTCATTAATACACGTTGATTTAAGTTTAAATCTATCCTTATAACACTACGATACAGTACATCAGTAAATATTCGTTAGCGATTTGTTTTCGCAAAGTTCGTGTATCAGAACTCTCGAAAGCAGTGTAATCTCAAAATCAATAGTGACAGCAATTAATTAGTTAAAAGAATATATTTTTATTTTTATTCTTGTCAGTAGATCTTAACAAAACAGATTTTGCAATTGAAGTCGTGCGGACTTTGTGTGGTGATCGTTGATAGAAAAATATAGTTCATGGATTTATATAAAGTATAACAATAGATTGATCTGTAAAGAACCCCCTTATATATCTAATTATTTCATAATGTTTATCCTTATTTACATGTATATATCAAGGAATCAACAGCAGGGTGTATTATGGAGATTGACGATCTGATAGCAAATGAATGTATTGACAGCCGTTCGAAACAATCGGACATCCGCTCTTTTTTTTCAATAGTTTCATTAAAACTTGTACATGCCTTTCTTTCAATTTTGTTCTTTTGTATTTATAGTTTTGTCATAAAATAAAGATTGGTCTGTCTTCAAATTACTTGCTAACAAGATAATAAATAATAAAATATGATGTTTAATATCTTATTATTAAACTGTATTTAAATATCAATGTGCAAATTGCCGTAACTTGGGTTCGAAAATAAGGAACCTCAATTAAGAGGCCACCTCTCTATAAAGGCCACTTTCATAATTTCCCAACAGTGGCCGTTTAATACAGGTTAGACTGTATATCCTTATTTACATGTATATATCAAGGAATCAACAGCAGTGTGCTAAACACCATATGGTTACAAGCATTGTTTATGGAGCCAACATTAAACTAATATTTACCATTGCCACGACATTGCAACGGTGTAACGTTTCCAAAGGCTTCATTTACGGCCGACGAGGAAAACTGAACGCAAATTGAAGTTGCATTCCCTCATAACAAAATAAAATTTGAAAATGATAAATGCAACCATTGATAAATCAATATATTTTTAATTGGCATTATCAACCTGTTTGCATTTATAGACTTACGTATGCCAAATGAAAACATCTAATTCAGATAGTGATACTGATAGCTTTATCGACTTTAAAGAAATGTTTTCATAACATTCTTATATTTGAAGTAATTTAGAAAAAAAGAAAACTTAAGGTGTCTTATTGTTGTAGTTCATATTGAACTAGATATAAAAATATGAATTGAAGTATATTGCGTAAACAAATTAATATCTAGTCATTCCTGAAAAAAAATTAAAGTTGGGAGAGTAAAAAAGGTAATGTCGGTCGATAAGCTATGTACGCATGAAATGAAAATGTCATATGTTCCCCCAAAAAGATGGAGGTAAAAACCACACTAATTAAGGCAGAAACCAAGCTGTTAACGACAGGAAAGAGATTTGCTGCTTACCTGCTGCTAGGAAACTGGAGACTAGAATCGGTAAAAGATTCATCACGTTGGAATGTCTTCTTAAAGTCTTGTGGAACCACTGGTAAATTATCTGTTCACAACTGTTTTGATTAGTATGTCTATATCGTTATGCAGTGATTAAGTGATAGAATATTTCTTTTTGGTAGATAAAGTGTGTCCGTTCCTAGTGATAATAAACCTATTAGCCTATAGGCACAGTGGTTGTCAGGGATCACGACACTATATAATATAACTGAACTCGTCAGGGATGGTAAAAAGTTGAATAAATGTGTGAAGTGGCAGATTTATTGATATAATTCCACCTCAAGACTTGCTGAAGTGTAAGACAAGGGTGGGTACTTGACACTCCAGAGGGTACTACATGATAGGACTTGACAATCTCACGCGATCACTGTAATAATTCCTATTACACATGCTAATATCATATGACGTTTTATGACGTTTAATCAGTATACATCTATATATCAATTTATTGTATCATAAGGCTCAGTATTCTAATTACATTCGATGTTAATTATAACAGAGCATTTGTTTTGTTCAATAGAGTGTGAAGGCATATCGAAATGTTCATACGCGGTTCGATAACACAAACAACTTTCAAAAGTAAACAACAAAGAAATGAATCAAATATTTGAACATACATGTTTTATTATGTCTGTAAAATAGGTAGCACGAAACAATCGCACCAACTCTCATCATAGAATGATCCTAAGAACTACATTTGGGATCTTGCCTCTTCTGCTCTCGTCTCCCTTGGTACTTCTTTGCTTTTGTCGAGCTTCAACTACTGTAGCTTTGATTTCTTTTTGCTTGAAATTCAAACAATACCAAACTAAAGCATCACCTACATAGCGTACAAATACCAGTATAAATCTGTGTTTTATTTCTATTTTGCATTGATAAACGGTTAGGAATATATGTGTGTGTGTGTGTGTGTGTGTGTGTGTGTGTGTGTGTGTGTGTGTGTGTGTGTGTGTGTGTGTGTGTGTGTGTGTGTGTGTGTGTGTGTGTGTGTGTGCGTTTCGATTCGACGCGCATAGTTGTATTATGATCCATATATAGTATAACAATACACACACGTTAATGTACGGTTCAAAAGATTTCGGGTAATGCTAATATCATATATCCTTTTATGACGTTTAATCAGTATACATCTATATATCAATTTATTGTATCATAAGGCTCAGTATTCTTATTACTTTCGATGTTAATTATAACATAGTTCAAAATTCAAACAATATCAAACTAAAGCATCACCTACATAGTGTACAAATACCAGTATAAATCTGTATTTTTTTCTATTTTGCATTGATAAACGGTTAGGAATATATCATGTGTATATATATATGTAAATTGACATTCTGGTAAGTATATATATTGACATTCTGATAAGTATATATATATATTGTCATTCTGGTAAGTATATATATTGACATTCTAGTAAGTATATATATATATTGACATTTCGGTAAGTATATATATTGTCATTCTGGTAAGTAGGCCTATAAATATTGACATTCTGGTAAGTATATATATAGATAGTTAGATATGTGTGTGTGTATGTTTAGTATAACAATATACACACTTTAATGTTCGGTTCAAAAGATTTCAGGTATTTATCCATTCTACGGAAGGCCTCGTCCCTCACCGTACGGTTCAAAAGATATCGGTTAATTATATATTCTACGGAAGGCCCCGTTCCTCACCGTTTATCATGCTTTAAATTTCAGTTATGTTTATCCTTGCAGATGAGGTTCAGTTTAAGTTTCGTCACAGATGCGATAAATCACATTTTTTAATCGCTAATTAAATCAAACATGACATTTTTAGTGCATAAAACCTTCTTCGCATTATTGTACTTTCATTTTAACTGTACTATATTACCCCATCGCCTGTGACAACCTGCAAACAGGAAGGTAATTGGCAGTCGAAAAAATGAAAACATTTAACAGGTGAGTCTTGTTTTGCAACGTGAATGCTATAATAAAATTCAGTGTAAACAGTATAAAAACACTATCATCTGAGGGTAGTGCTGGTTAACTGGAAGGACTTTTCCTGTATTGTAGAGTAGAGCCACAGATTTGTTGACAGCTGAACCAAGTGTTAGGAGTGCAGAGACATATGTGTTGTGTAAACTACTGGTTCAGGTATCTGTCATATATGGTTACAACACAGTAATGTACAATCAATTCTGCCCACATTTCAATTTAATCTTTAGTGTGTGTTATTTGTAGTACCCCAGAATGTGTGTTTAAAAAATCCAAAAGTCACCTTTGGCCTGTAATATGACCTATTTCATATCTCTGTCATGGTTATGAGCCACCGTGTACATCTTACCTCAGTTTGCTGCATATTTTAAACTAAAAAACAAAGCTAGGTATTATGATTATTTCTAGTTCAACTTCCATAACTTTTTATATTGGAAATATCTAGCTTTCTATTTGAGTTCAAAACATGTACCAGACTTTAATGAAGAGGATTTGAGCAAATTTAATTATTTAGTAATGGCTTTTTGAACAAGTTTTGGGGTAAGATGTGCATCCTGCCTCACACTCATGACTAGAAACATAAAATAACTCGATACACTCTTGGGATTTAACTGGGGCTCATAATAAATATCTAATTTGGACGTGAGCAAAATTACATGTACTGTGAAGCAGGTCCTTTAATATTTGTTAAAGTTTCCCTTAAGACGTGCAGTACTTAGGTAGTTGAAACCTTTAGTTAAAAGCATATCGTAATATTGATATGTAATATATTTGCTGAAAAAAATTCACACTCAACAATCATTGTTTTTCTTTGTCATATTTTTTTCCAATATTGGTAGCCATAACAGTTACAGATTTGGAGGAAAAAAATACTTGCAGGCACAATCACATTTTTTCTGAATATTTCTGTACAGCTTGAATTGATATTATTTGGCAGGATTAGGGTGAGTTATGTCCGTTCCAAATGTATATACATGTTATTTTATACCATAGCCAAACTATAAAATATTATATGTTGTAAGAGAGGCAACCCCTTTTTTAGGATAGACGATATATGCTATTGAATTTTATCTAATTGTTGTAAAAGATGAGAAAAAGGACATATTTTCAAATTTACACAATGTAAATGCACATATATGCTGTACATCGATCAAAGAAGCATATCATCTAGAAACAATGAGAAATATTCTCAGTCATATTTATAACCTTTGTTACTACGATGTTAGCCATCCATAGGACCTACATTTTGAAACCTACGAGGCGACTGAAGAAAATCGAAAGTAATGAAATGAAACATAAAAATCTAGATAGGGAGATGAACTAGCCCCTTTATTAGGTAAGTTTAGTATGTTACATATACCTGATAATTTAGTTTCATAATTAGCAGTTTTAAAGATATAGATTTAAGAGTATCAGATATTATAGAAATCTTTCAAATAAGCTAAAACTTGAAAGTTTCTTTGGAATGGAAATGGAGTACATTATTCTTGTTGGAAACACTGACAACACTGTCTTAGAAACTAACGAGGTGATCCACATGACATACTACTTATACTATAACGTCACGGTCTATGTTTATGTACAATTCGAGGAGTGCGCAATGTACATGTACATTGCAGTTGATTCGACTGGCTTTCATTCTAGGAATACCTCGATTATTTTGTAAGATCGTCAACAACTTGTAGTAAATTTAAAAACTCACGAAATCATAACAGATTTTCTCCCAGTTACTTTGGATATGGTAAACGCAAACTTAACATTATTGATAATTACGGTATAACTTTAGATCTATTTAGAGTTAGCATTGTTATTATTCTGCTGGTAGCTGCTGTTCTCCTTGTGAAATTACCTATAATTTCTTCTTCGAATGTCCTAATTTTAGTGATAGAGGTTATTGCTCCAGGGTTTGAATATAGACCTGGAAATAAGCCTAAATTGCCTATTATCAGGTATCCCTAAGTTGACAAAACAAAGCAATCTTGATGTTTTTCGAAGTGTGCACAGATTTATAAAGACCAGCGGAAGGTTTGATTTATAAAAAACCGTATAACATGTACTTGCCTATGTGTTCCGTTGTTGTATACTTATTCTCATTTAAGACTGTGACATTGCTTAATTGGATTGACTTAAGTGTACATGGTAGGTGTCGTCAATGAAGCAGAAAACGCTCACGCATTGAACACCTGGCCTCATTCTCCTTATACTTGTTTCGTGAGTTTCCGTGTAAATCTTTCATTTGTTCATATTTTCCCTACTTTTATTGAGGTGTGATTATGATTGTGCTGACACATTGATATTTATTTGTTGTTTTTATACAAATGTATATATGACTTTTTCTGCTATCTTTGATTATTAATTAAATAATGTTATCTGGTATGCAAACTCTTATGTATCTTTATGTTTATATTTTCACAGAGATGTGAAGCATGTACGAGAATCACCCTAAGCTTAAAAATCATGCTGGCTAAAGAAAAAGGTAAGGATGACCACGCGACACGTACGCTGGTAATATCCTGTTTTATCCTCAAGACCGGCCGAAAATAAGACTCTTGGAATAACAATATTTTCCGTATTTGAGATGTGGCTTTTAAAAAATACTGCATCAGTGTGTTTAACCAATTGATTTTGAATTTAGTATCGGTTCCCAATCACATGAATATGTGTTGGGATGACACGTACATGTGCTGGAAAACGAACTGCTACCTCATGGTTAACCGGTTTATTCCTACTTAGCCCACATTTGAAAATATCATAGGTACAGGTAGTTTTCACCACCACTTTACCTGTGGGCTATAATTTGTTTCAATTAATTAACCACACCTAGAAGTAACTCCAACATTGCACCCAAGCATCCAAGCTTGTGTATATGAATTGTCTTTGTTTTCATGAACAGTTTGATGCCTTATTAGTTAATAATAAAATAATTCAAATGTTAGTGAATAGTTATCAAAGTCCTGCAGTGTGAAAATATGAATATTAATCAAAGCTTACTAGATAATTTGATTATTAATCAAAGCTGATTAGAGAAATTGTTCAATCTAAGCCATGCAGATAGAATATATAAGACAGTTGATTTCTAAATCCTTAAACTTTTTCAACATGGCTAATGCTCAGCTACAGGTTGATTTTTTGGATAATAATCGGGTTGGATTTTTTCTTGTTCGTGCGGGGAACAAATATTCTGTGAAATTCATCGTGGCCAGGGGTGGTATTGGAGTTGATCGTCAGTGTGGTTCCAGGATTACGACCATTGATATTGTATTCGAATTCAAAATGAAATATAAGCTGTTTTGACCTGACGAGTCTCAATCACAAAATAGTCAGTTTCTAGCAACACCAAATAGCAAATCATTGTCACTAACTTCGAAAACAGGAGTCAGAAATATCTACATGAAATATTTATTCAGAGCCTTTTGTTTTTTGTTATCCAATTAAACTTTAAATATATAGGTATCCTAATCTGTATTTTTTATCTATGATTTTTATTACTTTGCAGCAGCACGCTCCAAGAACTTGGATAAAAGCCTCGCAGGTAAACATTAAAAAGATACAGCCTTCGGAAGTTAACTAAAAACAATATTTCATCATTTTTATACTCAATTGAATTATAATTCAAGGTCTAAATGCTTGTTTTTACAGTAATGTCATATTTTTCAAATAGAAAAGACGCAGACCATTTCATTTCCAAACATTTTCTTCACAGCAGGAACGTTTATCAAATTTACTAAAAACAATCGTACATTGTATCCAAATGTCTACATCTTGTCTTTTCATCGTTTCATATTTCGGAAAGGACTGACGAAAAAGTTCAGAGGCGTGCTAGGTAAGTTATGGAAATTACACGTTCGTAGCCTCTCTGATAATATTTTTTCATCGTCGAGTTTTGAGATTCTTGTACTAACATTTATGTGTTATAATTATTCTTCAATGCATAAAAAATGATCATGTTCCTTCGCATACAACATAACCTGAGCGAGTACACGCGTTATCTGTCAATTTTCGTTGAATGTACGGTATTTTTAGATGTTTGTGTTCATAAACATAAATATGATTTAAAGATTGATCTGAAAGCGTACAAAACCATAAGAACTGAAAATATGTGTCTTTTGTTTATAAAGTAATTTACATCATGTTCCTTTGTAATTTCGTAATGGATATGAATCAAAACAAATGATTATGTACGCAGTTCAAAGGATGATTTTCCTTTTCTCTACAGAAAAATTGCATCGGAGCTTAAATCCGTCGCCTGTAATCAATCAAGGTAGTTATGTATTATTTAATTATTTTTAACAAACACTTCCAGGTATAAGAATAAGAATTATAAATAGCGTATCACTCATGTTTGAAGATCGGCTACTACATATTCCAGCTTAATCGTAATGGTTTAGATAGACTATTTACAATTTACATTAAAAATATTATGATAAGAAGAAGTAAGTTATCAATGATATTTATGATATTTTATGTAACAGAACTGACGTCGCAATAGAATAGAGCTATCTGTATGTGCCGATTTGATTTAAGATTATGTTACATTAAACCAAATGTGCGTCTGTTAGCTTAGGGATATGGTTTGTTGGATTGTACATTTTCCAAACCGAATATTCAATGGGAGATTCAATTTGAACTATTGGGTATCTATTGCATTGCTGGAAGCTGAAAAATAGAAAATACGAAATATCACATAGAGTAATGAGACATTTGTGCTACAGTTATGAAGAACTGCTCATAACTCAATTACACACTCTCTTGTTAACAACTCTCCTGGTTCCACAAGCGATTTGAAGTTTGGTCACAGTGAATAACTATTGACAAAAATGACAATACATCAATTAAAAAAATACATTAAGTTTCATACAACGCGACATTTTTGCATGGAGTATTGAACACTCAATACCCAGTACCCACACCTGGTACACGTACTCCCTGAAAAGGCATGCTTATATCTTAATAGTAATGTTTGGGGAGAAACAATACATATGTTGCATTTTCGTCGTACCAACAACTGACAGTCAGATTTGTATTGTTTTAACAGGGAATTTACAAATCTAGCGTATCAATCTGACAAAAAAAAATAAATAAATAAAAATAAATAAATAAAACACACTTCAGAAGTCTATACTGTTCTGCAAATCGTAATGCTATTATTAGAGCCCCGCATTAAAGTGTGGGTGCCATATGGTAATCACGATGCCCGTCTCTCCGTTCGTCAAGTTTTTTGTTTCCGTATGATAAGAAAAGTTTTCTGGGCAGACCAGGCTCAAACAGTACTTCCTTATTGAAAATGCATGCATGGGATTGCTTTTTCAGCTTCGAAGGGCACTATTCGTGTTAATAAAAAATCAGTTTCTGTGTGAAAAAAGGAAAATGCCAACGTGGCAACAAAATCATAATTCAAACTTAAATTCCATGAAGCTTAAACAATATCTGAAAAAACGAAAGATCTACACGGGGACTCCTGCAAAAGTACAAGGATAATAAGACCAGGTGTTTCGGAAGAGTAAGCGTCTTCTGCTTTTTAGACGACACCGGCTATTTAAACCGAGGTCAATCCAAGAAAGTACTGACACGTTCTCAAAAGAGAACAAGGTGTAAAAAACGGAATCAACAGGCAAATATGTCCAGCTTCATATCGCACAAAAATATAGAATATTTCTCAATGAGGTCACTATGGTAACCATAAAACTCTCCTATAATTTTCATCAACCTGCACCTTTTGAACCCTTCTGTTACCAGTTTGTCAGTCATTTGACGACCTCTCGAACGAAAATGGTGATATTTGGAACAAGCCCTTGAATATTAAATCAACTGTGGCATGTAAATACCATAGATTGGAGATGCAAATATATTGCTTTCCATTGCTATCCATCCAAATGTTGGTTTCGTTGTAGGAGAAATTAGAGATAAGAGGCTGATGTAGAAGAGTCTGTCGTGATTTCCAGTCCTGATGGATATATACGATGGACGTAGTAAATAATTTCCATGTTATTCAAAGGCATCAATATATCTGAAGGTGAAATTAAATGACAAACGTCAAACAGTACTTCCTTACGGAAAGCGTTTGCTCAGGAATGTTTTACAGTTTTGATGGTCAAAAGTGAAGGTCATTTACTATAAATAGAAACATCAGTTTACCTGCGATAACTCAAATTTGCTCTGGCTAATCAGATGCAAGCCTCATTCAATGCTTCTTGGGTGGGGGTGGGAGTTGGATGGTCTAAGGTAGATTGGTGGGGGATTTCCAGCCACATTGCGGGGTCCTTGCTGATCTAGTTTATTACACAGCACTTATCCATGGAAACATATACGTCATTAAAATTGTATTACAGAAGAACAACGACGTCAACATGATAAAGAACAATGGGCAAAACAAGGTAAGGATATTTATGATATTTTCTTTAAGAAGTTATTATGTAATGCAAGCTGCTATATCGTAAGGTATTGGTTACAATATACTTTATTCTGCTACGCTGTGTTCAACATTTAGTCATAAATGTGTGAAAGTGCAAAACAAAAACAAAGACAAAACAAAAACATTTCAGAAGCTCTGTATCTATCTAGAGAGGTTGATGTACAAGTATAAATTTATTTATTACATGGGATTTTTCATTTATGTTGATATCGGTATCGGATTTTAGTGTATGTATTTATAGCAGAAGTGCTCTAGATAACCACATGGAAAGGTAAAGTAATAAAAATGACAGATAAGTATTTTTTTCAAGGCAACCAATGTCGATGCTGATTGCATCGGACATCATGATTCTAGTCTCGTTTTAAAAATAATAACGGAAAAAAAACATGCTAAACGCAAAGTAGTGGTTAATTAAAATGATGGAATGTGAAAACATGGGCGAGCTTTTTTTATCCATTGTCCTTGTCTGACGTGACAGCCTGAGTTAACTTCTTAGGCTGACTTTATTTTTTGAAAGTCATTTAAAAAGATGCAGAATAGTACGGAATTTGCTTTTTACCATCATTGGAACCATCCTTAAAAATTGTTGGGATGATTTCGAGAAAGCTTCATACGCATGATTTTTTTTTCAGGATGCTCTGTTTTTCAAACTGTATTTTCAATGCTATAGAAATGGCAGTTTCAAATTTGTCAATAATGTTGACCTGTGCAATCCGCTTGTCAGTCGGGCTCTGCTTAAGTTATGACATCCAAATAAAGGTATCTAAGTATAAAGAACATAAGTATATTAAGTACATGAAAGTTCACTACACATTTCAAATGCAATGTCATCAGGACTAAACTAGGGTAAAAGATATGTTACATATAAGTCATTGTCAATTGAAAAATTGAAAGTTCGGTGAACATTTGAGAGTTTGTGATTTCACCCAGTATTGTTGATACATCCGACCATTTGCGTACGGAAATGAATTCCGTTGCATTACATTTTAAAAGCATAATAAAGATACATCATCAGCGTTAACCTCAATAATAAGCTGTCCAAAAATAACTTCACAACTCCAATTATTCAATTCAGTAATATCAACATTACCGAGTTCAAATATAGTTATCCCACGACAACATTAACCAAATATAAAGTTAATGCTTATATTTATAGTTTGTCTTTATTAAAATACAATTTCGATTTAATCCCTTCCAAATTTTACAGACATGAAAATAACGAAATCTTTAGTTTGCTGGCAGTAAATATATTGTTTCAGGCTTTCCGATACCACAGCAACAAAACCAACATTGACATATATTCATAATTCATTTGCTAGGTACAAAATTTACGTTATTATTAAATCATATCAATTATATTGAGTTTTTGTAAAATTCTCCAAAATTTTCAAGATTGACATGATGTCCATATTGCTAACGGACTGTATTTAAGAGCATATTCCCCCATTGTGTGATGCGACAGCATCACGCGGGAGTCCTTCATTTTTAACGTAAATGTCCCGAGAAAGTAACGATAATTATTTATTAGTTACCTTAATTACTGTTACGATATGTTATATTAGTCTTCTATGGAGTTGTGAGTCTCCATCATATGATTTTTTTCAGATAAAGATGTTCTTTCTTACAAAACGGAAATCAAAGAATTTTCTTCCATCACTGATGCATTTGGTTTGAGACTCTATGAGACAATCGATAAGATTATAGTCAGTAAGTTAAACACCAGCTATATATTAATAAATGTTCTTTTCATGGTTGGAGATGGAACCATTTTCAAGATTGTTATTTAGTATGAGGCGTCTCAAAGCATAGATATAGAAAATAATACAATGCACGTCAGTTAGAGGCTTACTAACTTACCAAACATCTCATAGTTGTAGGAGTGGTTCTGCGTTAAGTTTTACGTGTCATCGTGCATGCTTTATCACAATAAACCAGGGCATAGCCCTCTGATAATGAGTGTTTGCTCATTCAGAATTTAAACAAATAAAATAGGAGTCCAACAGAGGAAAACATGGAATCGCTATTATGACACACAAAACATATAGAACGTATATATAAACTTGTTTTGATATAACATCACTCAATACATATAAATAATCTTTTATACGTCATGCAATTTATATTTACAAAAAATAGTTGTGGCATTGATAGCAAAAAATATTCATCATTAACTCTATTTTTGTATACAGGTCCAGTAAACACACGTGGGAAGCAAGGACAAGGAAGTGCTACGCTGATAACCTTACCAAGTGCATATGGTAATTCAATAAAACTGTATTCGTATTTTTGTGTTTTCATGTTTTGAGCAAACCCTCCTCTGATTATAGTTTTAGCAAGTATTCTGTATAAAACATTGGTACCAATACTTAGGAAAGAAAGAAACACAAATATATCTAAAATCCAGCATATGTATATATGTATTAGACATATATAAATAAGAACGACGGTCGTAGCAGAAAAAGTACAAAAAGATGGTATTCCAGAGAGCAAGTATATATAATGTCAGGTTTTCAAATGATAACAAAGTATACAACAACGGAACCAATGAGCAAACGAACGAGCATCAAACATGTCAATCCCTATCATCACGCTTATCATACAGTTTAGTGGAAAATTGTCCATGTTGAATTTGTTGTAGGAAAAGATCGAGATAAGTGGATGTACCTAGAGTATCATTCGTATAACTTATATCTGTCCATTCCAGCGGCTTTCTATTTGTAGCTCATCTGATCATGAGGGCAGTATGAGCGTATCGCGTATTGCTACGACCGTCATTCGACCGTCAAGGTTTTTGTATAAATCGCTGCCTGGCATGAACGACTCAGTGGTTTTTGACCAAATGATGTCTGAAGCGTCCTTTACGAAATGGGAACAATTTTAGTATAAATGGTGAATATCTGTCATCAGATGTCCGTGAGGCAGGGCCAAAAGAGGGAAAGTTGTTCAAAATCCTGCTGCTCCAGTAGAACTGATTCGATTTTGTCGAAATTAAGTTCGAAATATTCTTAGATAAAGGGTGATCAATTTTGTATACACGACGGGTCTCTTCCCACTTGAGGCTCAATAATGAAAAAAGCAAATTCTATGAAATGTTATCTTCCTGAAGGAATAATTTCATTTTGGTCTGAATCATTTCTGGTTTAAGGGGAATTAGTTTTGTATAATTGGTGGACCTAAAACAACAATGGCGGGAGGATTGGGGCTCGATAATGGAAATATCGAGAAGTCTATAACCTTCTGAAAATCGTAATGCTATTATTAGAGCCCCGCATTAAAGTGTGGATGCTATATGGTAATCACGATGCCCGTCTCTCTGTTCGTCAAGTCTTTTGTTTTCGTATAAGAAAAGTTTTCTGGGGCAGATCAGGCTCAAACGCCAAACAGTACTTCCTTATTGAAAATGCATGCATTGTATTGCTTTTTCAGCTTCGAAGGGCACTATACGTGTTTATAAAACATCAGTTTCTGTGTGAAAAAATGAAAAATACCAACGTGGCAACAAAAGATCTACACGGAGACTCCTGCAAAAGTACAAAGATAATAAAACCAGGTGTTTCGGGAGAGTAAGCGTCTTCTGCTTCTTAGACGACACCCGCTATATAAACCGAGGTCAATCCAAGAAAGTAATGACACGTCCTTAAAAGAGAACAAGGTGTAAAAAAACGGAATCAACAGGCAAACAAACGAGCAGCAAATATGTCCAGCTTCATATCGCACAAAAATATAGAATATTTCTCAATGAGGTCACTATGGTAACCATAAAACTCTCCTATAATTTTCATCAACCTGCACCTTTTGAACCCTTCTGTTACCAGTTTGTCAGTCATTTGACGACCTCTCGAACGAAAATGGTGATATTTGGAACAAGCCCTTGAATATTAAATCAACTGTGGCATGTAAATATCATAGATTGGAGATGCAAATATATTGCTTTCCATTGCTATCCATCCAAATGTTGGTTTCGTTGTAGGAGAAATTAGAGATAAGAGGCTGATGTAGAAGAGTCTGTCGTGATTTCCAGTCCTGATGGATATATACGATGGACGTAGTAAATAATTTCCATGTTATTCAAAGGCATCAATATATCTGAAGGTGAAATTAAATGACAAACGTCAAACAGTACTTCCTTACGGAAAGCGTTTGCTCAGGAATGCTTTACAGTTTTGATGGTCAAAAATTTGCTCTGGCTAATCAGATGCAAGCCTCATTCAATGCTTCTTGTGTGGGGGTGGGAGTTGGATGGTCTAAGGTAGGTTGGTGGGAGGATTTCCAGCCACATTGCGGGGTCCTTGCTGATCTAATTTATTACACATCATTTATATAACGGCTGTGAAAAATACATGCAAATGACATATCCATGAATAAACATATACGTCATTAAAATTGTATTACAGAAGCACTACGTCTACAAATTGAAAAACTAGAGGCAAAACAAGGTAAGGATATTTATATTTTCTTTAAGAAGTTATTATGTAATGCAATCTGTTATATCGTAAGGTATTGGTTACAATATACTTTATTCTGCTACACTGTGTCACTTAGTCATAAATGTGTATATGCTGATATTGTTTGGGCTAATTGCACAGAAAGGGAATGCAACATCTTAGAATCAATTCAACTAGAGGCAATTCACATTATTACTGGCCTAAGACGGGGCATCAGTCATGTAATTCTATATAATGAGTCTGGATTAATACCCTTAGCTAAAAGAAGACACTTACATCAAAATATCCATTTTTTTAAGATTTTAAATAACAGATGCCCTCCTCATGTATTTGATTCTATCCAACCTTTTATAAACAATAATACTGCTCCTTATCCACTTCGACACAATATATTGTTTGATGTGCCCCATACAAGAACTTGTCAATATAGCACTAGCTTCTTTCCAAAACTCATGAATAAATGGAATGGCCCATCTTGTCTGTATCCCTCATTAACTTCTATTTATGCGATAAAAAAAACTTTTTTATCACAGCAAGCTACCATTCCTCCTTTCCACTGTAATGATACTTTCAAATATAAAGGACAAAGAAAAGCTAACATAATTTTATGTCAACTAAGAAACTCTGCAAGTAATCTGAATTTTGATTTATTCAATTCCCACCCTAAAGATAACCCTGCCTGTAACTGTGGCCACCCAGTTGAAGATTGTGCCCACTTCTTTTTCCACTGTCCCTTCTTTACTAACCAGAGACAACTCCTCTTTAATTCCATTTCTGACCTTAGTGATTCTATACCTCCTACAATTGATACATTTCTGAAAGGTTCTCCTATACTTAATGCAAACATGAATAAATTTATTCTTGATATAGTTCAGAGATTCATAACTGACACTGGTCGCCTGTTTTAGCAAATGTACATCCCATTCTATACTTCTATCTTTTCTATCTTTCATTTGTATTTGATGTCTCAATTGTGGATCCGCCTGTCCATTTTTGGGACTCAGCTCAGGATTATGTGCAAATGGACTGTTTGAACCTGCAGCCTGTCCCACCATAAATGGACATATTTTGACCAAGTCTTGTAATATCTTGTGATACCTAATTGTACTTTTTAGTTTATGTTACTGCTCTGGAACTCAATAATACAAATGATGGTGATGCCTATTTTGCATTTCTGTTATATAATCATCCATTTGAATCTATCTTCTACATTTTTATTCCTAATATTATTATTATCTGTTTTTTTTTTTAATTTTGATTGATGTCTGTATATTTGTTTATGTACTGTAAGGAGAGGGCTTTCATAGGCTCTGCCTGTTGTCCAATTCCTATTGTCAATACCACCAAGACAATAAAATATTCTGAAATCAAATAAATGTGTGCAAGTGTGTAATCTTGTCGTCCCGGTTTAGCACTGGTCCGCTGAACGTATCCAAGTGGTATCCTTGACTAACCACCTGATACGATTTTTTCTCTGCTGGCTACTTTAGAGTTTACCAAGTCAGTGAATGGATGTTGCTGTGGGGAATGATCTGTAAGGGCCTGTCGACCATGTCATTTCGTAATATCTAATGCAGTTTCATTACTGTTGTAATGCTTTCACTGCAGTTACTCATAGGGCTTCGATGTATGAAGATATGCCCTTTTCCTTTGTGCTTCCTTTCTTGGCCTTTTTTGTGCTACCCGAATTTCTTTTGTTCACCATCTGGATTGCTCTATAAGGGTATATATATCCACACGTCTTCCTTGCGCTATGGATCTGATATCGCTCTTGCTTTCTGTCTTGTTTTTAAATGCCAGATCCGTTAAACAATTCTTATAACTCCTGGCGGATTGGGCGATCAGATGTTAATGTATTGGTCAGGGTGCGTCTTTTTCAAATTGAGCAATACTATGTTTGTGCCGTTCGTTCCAATAGGCTTATACTCATAAAGTGTCTTACAATTTCCAGTTATACATGCGTGCACGCCGGAAACTAGCAAACTCCGATGGTATTGGAAAAACAAACATGAAAAAACCTGGGAAGAGTTTGATCAAGTTAGCAATGATAAGCTCACTAGAAATCATAGCAAAGGCAAACCTCGAGCCCATGTTCTTGTCAATAACATATGGTAGGTGCTCATTTAAAATGAATAGTATGATTCCATAGGATTAGGTCTGTTATATAATTATTACTACTATTATATTTATACATATATTAAGTACTTTATTCAAAACACAAGAAAGCTACTTTACACTTGTTTTGTATTGGAAATATTTAGTATGTGCGATTAAAATAAATCGTTCTTTCCATAGCTATTAACTGCATTACCCACGGAAAACAATATTTGGTATCGTTTTATCGATTCTTATTTTCTTTAACGTATCGATAGTTTATTTCAATAAATAAATACGGCGTGATTAACCGCATCGTTTAAATTGCTGCTGTTTACTTCATCATAATAACAAGTCATCACTTTAACTAAATTCAATAAATATGAAAATCATTTATTATTTTACAGGCACCATGTTACGTTCAGTCAAATGAAAATGCAAAAGATCAATTATCGCAATGTAACGTCAGTTAAACGATCAGGTAAACATTTTTCTGGTTATCATATGTACAGGTAACATTAGTCGTTAGTAGCATAGAGAAACAATGTTGATATCGTGATTGCTTTATGAAATGCAATGATACGACAGCTGACAAAGAAAATGTTTTATTTATATCACGGCGTTGTGAAAATGACTAAATTTATTTTGTTTAGTCGGAACATGTTGTCTATTCATTGATTTTAATAGGGTACCACAAACCCTTTGTACTGTGATGAACATATGAAATTAGTAATTAATGACAGTATATCAATAATTCTGTGACCAGTTTATAATACTCAATTTGCTTTTTAATAGAATTACGAATTGCTTGCAGGTTCAAAGCCGCCATTCTCAGCATCAGGTAACTTTTATTTACACACAAGCATATCGGAGAAACTATCAATATATTATCCGTTGCTTGATATATTGATGATCATGTAAGTTTTCATTGCTAGTAATATGCTTATGCCGAACTATCAAAGCTATACGATAACAGCCTAAAATCCTGAGCGGGTGATATAAGATACTTGCAATGTTATATTCACGAACATACCATTAATACTAAACTCAACATGATATTACACTGTGATTATAAAGTAGTTGCCAAAAGGACTGAATCGAATTCATTCATTTACATTGTTGGAATCGCTCCATATTTTCTTCTTTTTCTTTTTTGATTAAGAAAATAAACGGAATATTGATAATAATAACATAACACAACCTTCCTTTTGCCCCCTCTTGTGGCTATTACTAAATGCTAACATTATAACCTTTGAATATTATATGTAACTGAAGATAACGAAGACTCTTCTGATACTGACAAAGAGAGCCAGGAGCCAGTTAATCGTGTGCTGGATAGAATGGATATGAAGGGAAGGAAACCATCAATGTTAAAAAAACGTAAGCTTATCCTCCTATGTAAAGCTCATTTTCTTTCACAGATTTTCGCGACGACAAAGATATTGAACCACCAAATTTACCTTCAACAGCGGGTAACAATGAATTCTTTCATCATGGTGAAACATGCAATATTCAGAAGTTAAGACCAATACTGTCGTATCCATGAAAAGCATTTTATTTCATAAGCATATTTATGTTAGCAAAACAAACTGAAAGATCTATCTTAATTGATGAAGCTTTATAGTCCTAGGGTCTCATTTGAACACCTTTTAATTTCTTATAAAGTTGCAGGTTTAAATCGATCTAAGTATGCTTGGTGATTTCCCTGTAAACATTATTGTCATTTGGGAGGTGACATTACTTCGTTTCATCTAATTAGAGATGGAATTAGGATTGAGTTGATATGCCAGGGTTTTTTTTATTCTCAATGTAAATTTCAAAATGTGTTTGATTATGACCATAAGGACGTATTTGCAGTGACAGGTTTGGGTTGGTCTTCATCAGACGCCGGCAAAGAGAAAAATAAACCTAAACGTGAAAGGAAGATTATGGCAAGCGAAGGAAAGAGGACAAGGGAACCATTCTGGGGACGGGACAAAAAAGAACGTGATTACAAGAAAGGGAAAGGTTTGCTCAAATTACAGAAATATAAAAAAACATTCACCCCATAATAGTTTATATTACTTACAAATGTTGTCTCATTGGATTGTTTCGGACCCAACATAATATTTCACTGTGGTTAAAAAGTAGTTGCCAAAAGGACTGAATCGAATTCATTTATTTACATTGTTGGAATCGCTCCATATTTTCTTCTTTTTCTTTTTTTTTAAGAGAATAAACGGAATATTGATAATAATAACATAACACAACATTAATTTTGCCCACTCTTGTGGCTATTACTAAATGCTAACATTATAACCTTTGAATATTATATGTAACTGAAGATAACGAAGACTCTTCTGATACTGACAAAGAGAGCCAGGAGCCAGTTAATCGTGTGCTGGATAGAATGGATATGAAGGGAAGGAAACCATCAATGTTAAAAAAACGTAAGCTTATTCTCTTATATAAAGCTCATTTTCTTTCACAGATTTTCGCGAAGACAAAGATATTGAACTACAAAATTTGCCTTCATCAGCGGGTAGCAATGAATTCTTTCATCACGGTAAAACATGCGATAATCAGAATTTAAGACCAATACTGTCGTACCCATTAAAAGCATTTTATTTCATAAGCATATTTATGTTAGCAAATCAAACTGAAAGATCTATCTTAATTGATGAAGCTTTATAGTCCTAGGGTCTCATTTGAACACCTTTTAATTTCTTATAAAGTTGCAGGTTTAAATCGATCTAAGTATGCTTGGTGATTTCCCTGTAAAGATTATTGTCATTTGGGACGTGACATTACTCCGTTTCATCTAATTAGAGCTGTTTGCATATATTTTTGTTTACTTGGGTGTGTTTTATATTCATTTTTCAATCTCGTATTTATGCAGTTGGAAACGTCGCTCTGTATATGAGAAGAAAACAAGGACGACATCGACCGGGTAAGATTGTAATGAAGAGAAGATGTTCAGGTATGAAACTACCATTACATTGGTGAATTTCGATTAAATTTTTGATGTAGGAACTGCAACTGTCAAGACTGACTTTTTGTATCTTTAGTGTATCTTTGTATGTCATTTTATAGAATTAAAAACTTCTTCAACGTGTGAAAATTCAAAAACCTTTTGATTTGCCCCACTAAACATGCTTCTTAAGAAGTAAAAGAACATTTTAGGGTCTTGGTATCCATATTTATCTTGGAGACTGTTTTCCAGGTGTTAAATTTAAAGAAACATATTGGCTTAATATATTGCCCTTATTTGATTAAATAAAACAATTGCATAATTACTGTGACAGACCTAAATACTTGTACATCTATCTGTATCCAAAGGTGCTAGAAAATGGGCAGTTCGTGGCCTGAGAAAGATTGGAGGTTTTGTTGGTAATTCAGGTACAGTACGAGGTTCTCGGGGTGTTTGTAACTTGACCGCAAAAATTCGATGAGTAACAATTCACGAACCTTAAATCCAAATGATTTTCAACATTTTGAGTTTTGCATAATTGTTGGCTCTCCGAATTTGCACTTCGAGGACTGTTTATTATTATCTATTGTGAAAAAATCATATTGTATTCATTCAACGTTTTCTTATTCTGTTGTCATGAAAGTATGAATATCCACTTTACAATAGCCCAGCAATCAATTGTTGGATTATCAATGTAAGTTTCTAAATGTGTTTGATTATGACCATAAGGACGTATTTGCAGTGACAGGTTTGGGTTGGTCTTCATCAGACGCCGGCAAAGAGAAAAATAAACCTAAACGTGAAAGGAAGATGATGGCAAGCGAAGGAAAGAGGACAAGGGAACCATTCTGGGGACGGGACAAAAAAGAACGTGATTACAAGAAAGGGAAAGGTTTGGTCAAATTACGGAAATATAAAAAACAATTCACCCCATAATAGTTTATATCACTTACACATATTTTCTCATTGGATTGTTTGCGGATCCAACATAATATTACACAGTGATTATAAAGTAATTGTCAAAAGGACTGAATCAAATTCGTTCATTAACATTATTTGAATTGGCAGACTGTTTCCAGGTGTTAACTTTAAACAAACATATTGGCCTAATATATTGATTGATTAAAACAAGTGCATAATTACTGTGACAGACCTAAATACTTGTACATCTATCTGTTTAAAAGGTGCCAGAAAATGGGCAGTTCGTGGCCTGAGAAAGATTGGAGGTTTTGTTGGTAATTCAGGTACAGTACGAGGTTATCGGGGTGTTTGTAACTGGACCGCAAAAATTCGATGAATAACAATTTACGAACCTTAAATCCAATTGATTTTCAACATTTTGAGCTTAGCATAATTGTTGGCTCTCCGAATTTGCACTTCGAGGACTGTTTATTATTATCTATTGTGAAAAAATAATATTGTATTCATTCAATGTTTTGTTATTCTGTTGTCATGAAAGTATGAATATCCACTTTATCAATAGCCCAGCAATCAATTGTTGGATTCTCAATGTAAGTTTCTAAATGTGTTTAATTATGACCATAAGGACGTATTTGCAGTGACAGGTTTGGGCTGGTCTTCATCAGACGACGGCAAAGAGAAAAATAAACCTAAACGTGAAAGGAAGATGATGGCAAGCGAAGCAAAGAGGACAAGGGAACCATTCTGGGGACGGGACAAAAAAGAACGTGATTACAAGAAAGGGAAAGGTTTGGTCAAATTACGGAAATATAAAAAACAATTCACCCCATAATAGTTTATATCACTTACACATATTGTCTCATTGGATTGTTTGCGGATCCAACATAATATTACACAGTGATTATCAAGTAATTGTCAAAAGGACTGAATCAAATTCGTTCATTAACATTATTTGAATTGGCAGACTGTTTTCCAGGTGTTAACTTTAAACAAACATATTGGCCTAATATATTGCCATTATTTGATTAAAAAAAACAAGTGCATAATTACTGTGACAGACCTAAATAATTGTACATCTATCTGTATCCAAAGGTGCTAGAAAATGGGCAGTTCGTGGCCTGAGAAAGATTGGAGGTTTTGTTGGTAATTCAGGTACAGTACGAGGTTCTCGGGGTGTTTGTAACTGGACCGCAAAAATTCGATGAGTAACAATTCACGAACCTTAAATCCAATTGATTTTCAACATTTTGAGCTTTGCATAATTGTTGGCTCTCCGAATTTGCACTTCGAGGACTGTTTATTATTATCTATTGTGGAAAATAATATTGTATTCATTCAACGTTTTCTTATTCTGTTGTCATGAAAGTATGAATATCCATTTTACCAATAGCCCAGCAATCAATTGTTGGATTATCAATGTAAGTTTCTAAATGTGTTTGATTATGACCATAAGGACGTATTTGCAGTGACAGGTTTGGGCTGGTCTTCATCAGACGACGGCAAAGAGAAAAATAAACCTAAACGTGAAAGGAAGATGATGGCAAGCGAAGGAAAGAGGACAAGGGAACCATTCTGGGGACGGGACAAAGAAGAACGTGATTACAAGAAAGGGAAAGGTTTGGTCAAATTACGGAAATATAAAAAAAAACCTTCACCCCATAATAGTTTATATTACTTTCAAATGTTGTCTCATTGGATTGTTTGCGGATCCAACATAATATTACACCGTGATTATAAAGCAATTGTCAAAAGGACTGAACCAAATTCGTTCATTAACATTATTTGAATTGGCAGACTGTTTTCCAGGTGTTAACTTTAAACAAACATATTGGCCTAATATATTGCCATTATTTGATTAAATAAAACAAGTGCATAATTACTGTGACAGACCTAAATACTTGTACATCTATCTGTTTAAAAGGTGCTAGAAAATGGGCTATCGTGGCCTGAGAAAGATTGGAGGTTTTATTGGTAATTCAGGTACAGTACGAGGTTCTCGGGGTGTTTGTAACTGGACCGCAAAAATTTGATGAGTAACAATTCACGAACCTTAAATCCAAGTGATTTTCAACATTTTGAGTTTTGCATAATTGTTGGCTCTCCGAATTTGCACTTCGAGGACTGTTTATTATTATCTATTGTGGAAAATCATATTGTATTTATTCAATGTTTTGTTATTCTGTTGTCATGAAAGTATGAATATCCACTTTACCAATAGCCCAGCAATCAATTGTTGGATTATCAATGTAAGTTTCTAAATGTGTTTAATTATGACCATAAGGACGTATTTGCAGTGACAGGTTTGGGCTGGTCTTCATCAGACGACGGCAAAGAGAAAAATAAACCTAAACGTGAAAGGAAGATTATGGCAAGCGAAGGAAAGAGGACAAGAGATTCCTTCGGGGACAAAAAAGAACGTGATTACAAGAAAGGGAAAGGTTTGGTCAAATTACGGAAATATAAAAAAAACATTCACCCCATAATAGTTTATATTACTTACAAATGTTGTCTCATTGGATTGTTTCGGACCCAACATGATAGTACACTGTGATTATAAAGTAATTGCCAAAAGGACTGAATCAAATTCATTCATATACATTATTGGAATCGCTTCATATTTTCTTCTTTTGTCTTTCTTTTTTTTTCAAGAGAATAAACGGAATATTGATAATAATAACATAACACAACCTTCCTTTTGCCCCCTCTTGTGGCTATGACTAAATGCTATCATTATATCATTTGAATATTATATGTAACTGAAGATAATGAAGACTCTTCTGATACTGACAAAGAGAGCCAGGAGCCAGTTAATCGTGTGCTGGATAGAATGGATATGAAGGGAAGGAAACCATCAATGTTAAAAAAACGTAAGCTTATCCTCCTATGTAAAGCTCATTTTCTTTCACAGATTTTCCCGACGACAAAGATATTGAACCACCAAATTTACCTTCAACAGCGGGTAACAATGAATTCTTTCATCACGGTAAACATGCAATAGTCAGAATTTAAGACCAATACTGTCGTACCCATTAAAAGCATTTTATTTCATAAGCATATTTATGTTAGCAAAACAAACTGAAAGATCTATCTTAATTGATGAAGCTTTATAGCCCTCAGGTCTCATTTGAACACCTTTTAATTTCTTATAAAGTTGCAAGTTTAAGTCGATCTAAGTATGCTTGGTGATTTCCCTGTAAAGATTGTTGTCATTTGGGACGTGACATTACTTCGTTTCATCTAATTAGAGATGGAATTAGGATTGAGTTGATATGCTAGTTTTTTATGTCTTAGTGAAGTAAAAAGTAAGGTCAATCAACTGTTTGCAAGGTATAAACATCCATATTTCCTTATACGTTTTGTTTTAGAAAATAAATTCAAACTGATTTTCGAATATACCTCTATAGATAATATTTTAAGGTGTCCGTTCTCATAAATTTTTGTCTTAATTACGATTTTTGAAAATTTTGAGAAACACCAGAAGTAGCCCGAATGATTCCATTGATCATAGGAATAAATTAAGCAGTGGAAATAAGAAAATATGCAACTGAAAGGGTATTATATATCCTGATGATGTCAATGGAAAACATGTTAATTCACGTCGAAATCTGTGCACAATTCAGCTGTTAAGTCTATTTTTCGAAGCAATGTGCGTGTTCTTTGTTTTGAGAATTTCCTGTCGTTTCTTTTGGTTACAAGTTTTACGAACAGTTTGTCCAGGGCCACAATATCCATTTCTTCCAGAATAACCCGTGTGTTCCTTTGTACGATATGAAATTTACCGTATTCAATATAAACGGATGTTTTATTGGTCTTCCGGATTTTCATTTTGCAAACATTCTTTTTTTAAAAAAACAATTCCTTTTTAAAGATTTGCTTAAGGATACCTTCCGATATTCATTTCGTTTTTGTTTAGTACTAAAAATAACGGACACAACCATTTATTTCGAGAATTATTTGTCGTCCTTCATACTGTGGACGAGTTCGATTACTTACCATTAATGACATTAGACGCCGTGTTGTTCCATCTAATGCGATTACATATGTTGATGAATCACAACCACCCACTTCCATGCTTCCAAATAATGACGTTTGGGCAAACAATTTCTGGATGCTTTGGTCCGACGAAAGTGAATTTGTAAGTTATAATATATAGTCTTCTATACATGTGCAACCTATTTTGTGGTTTCAATGCACATGCGCAGTGTGCGACTACTGACATCGCCCTTTGCAAATTAAGCAAAAAGGAGATAATGCATATTGTCTCGTTTTATCCATTATAAAATTTTAGTTTCAAACAAGTGTTAATTTGTATGCATTATATCACTAACAAGAACATTTATTGGATTTTCTAACATCCTTTTTAATCCAATGCGTGTCCAGTCGAACGTCACGGCGTTCGCCGATCTCTTGACGACGAAGTAAATGAGGAAGACAGAAGCTGGAGACTTAGGCAAAAAAGCAATGTGAAGGTGGAAGATGCAATGACACAAACTGTCGGGAGAGTTACTTATCAAGATCAGTCTTGCATGGCAGGTTTGTAGCACAGCTATTGCTGTGCAATTTGATAACTTACATGCATATTTTGAATTCAAGAGGAATATTTCTATTTGCTTTGCTTCCGGCGAAGTGTCCATTAAAAGAAATGAAAGAAAAATATCTCTGAAATGACATAGTTCTTACAAACATTCACATTTTTTTGTGAACATTACCATTTTAATGACATTTTCTGTGATTTTCACGACCAATACCTGGTATGATAATATCTAAGTACTATATATCAAATGAACATAAAAACCTTCATTATATATGCAACATAACTACGTAAATATATCACACACCTGTTTCCTCCTGATAGAACTCCTCACCGATGGAAAACAAAGAAACGTGACCGATAGGTATCCATTTGGAGACCAAACACCAAAAGAGCCATCCCTAGCTAAACATCCACCTTCCCCTCCTCGAACTAATGGTAATTACGCAAGTTGTTTTCTTTCATAAAAAACAATGACTTAAACAAAGTCAAGATAAAATAGCATTGAGTAAACTCAATAATTTAACTCAGTAATTTTACTGTCGTTATTAAGAAATAAAATAGAATTACTCTTTTTAAAGGACTGACGAAGCCGCCAAGCAGTGAGATGCCAGATGTAAGTTAAATTTTTGATACTTTGACATGGTTCAAATTTGAAATTAATTACGGTGAATACCCTATAACAAATTGATTTGACAAGAATTGTAATGATCTCTAACGAATATGGCATTAGAACTGTAATGAATTCTCGTAAATACACGATAGCACAAAGGAATACAACCATGAAAGGTTGTATTGTTTAAAATTAGAACTGTAATGAATTCTCGTAAATACACGATAGCACAAAGGAATACAACCATGAAAGGTTGTATTGTTTAAAATTAGAACTGTAATGAATTCTCGTAAATACACGATAGCACAAAGGGATACAACCATGAAAGGTTGTATTGTTTAAAATTAGAACTGTAATGAATTCTCGTAAATACACAATAGCACAAAGGAATACAACCATGAAAGGTTGTATTGTTTAAAATTAGAACTGTAATGAATTCTCGTAAATACACGATAGCACAAAGGGATACAACAATGAAAGGTTGTATTGTTTAAAATTAGAACTGTAATGAATTCTCATAAATACATGATAGCACAAAGGGATACAACAATGAAAGGTTGTATTGTTTAAAATTAGAACTGTAATGAATTCTCATAAATACACGATAGCACAAAGGGATACAACAATGAAAGTTTGTATTGTTTAAAATTAGAACTGTAATGAATTCTCATAAATACACGATAGCACAAAGGGATACAACCATGAAAGTTTGTATTGTTTAAAATTAGAACTGTAATGAATTCTCGTAAATACACGATAGCACAAAGGGATACAACAATGAAAGTTTGTATTGTTTAAAATTAGAACTGTAATGAATTCTCATAAATACACGATAGCACAAAGGGATACAACAATGAAAAGTTGTGTTGTTTAAAATTAGAACTGTAATGAATTCTCGTAAATACATGACATCACAAATGAATGCGACAATGAAAGTTGACATTGCTTTAAATCCGAATTGTAATGAGTTCTCGTGACAACATGATAGCACAATATAATACAACGTTAATGCAATTTCCCGTAAAAGGATTTGGATAATCGTTAAATTCAGTAATATCATAATTTACATAGCACTACCACCTAGATCGCGCTGAAATACTTATTAGCGAGAAATTTAATGAAATAACCGGATACGTGGAACATATGATGTCAAAGTGCTACTTCGACTGACCATGTCCTATATGTAAACAATAGTGTAAAAGGCAGACTCCTATCATGTGATCTTATTTTTTTCCATAACATTGATTGAAAGTGAAATATTCTGTCTGAGCTAAACACTATATATCAATATAAAAGCTTGAGCAAATGAAAATATTCAAATAAAAAAATTATTATCGGAAAATCCCTACCAAAGGACCATGAGTCGGCGATATACAATCCTACATGTACGAAATTGTTATGAACTAACTTTTTTACTTATAACATGGAACATGATTCTACAGATGTTCAAGATTTTTCTTGATTTCGGTTCTTCAGTTTCGGAAGTATGACGTTGTGTGACAGACAGGTGTACGTATGTTAGCAATCGCAACATTAGCAAGAAAGTCATGCGAATATCTAGGACTAATTAAGAAAAAGATACGAATCCCAGCGACCATTCAGCAGCGAAAGCATTTAACCTAAATGGTTTGAAAGATTTTGAGCGTTGAATTTGGTACTTATGCAATATGAATGTCTGTGTCACGTCTTGTTTGCATTGTAATTATAACATTATTATAATAAAAACTATAATTTGATCCATGACATCGTAAAACGTAAAACGAAAAATCTATATATGTTATTACTTTTGCGTCTCTGTATATAAAACTGCTTGTGTTGCTACTCTTATTCAGCCCATGGAAGAAATTTCCGTACAACACGCTACACAACATGGAAATATTCGATTACTGCGGGCAATAGCACTGTCCGATGACGAAGGTCTTCGAAAACATGCCAAATACTATCCTCTGCACACTGCGACTGCACTAGGCATGAAAAGAACCTCGTCGTTCCTTATGCAATCTGGATTCGATTTAGATGATCGAAATGAAAGCTGCCATACCGTAATAGAGAGTGTTGACCCGTCAAAAGACAACATTTTGCGGGAATATATACAAAGATTAGAAGGTGTCGACACTGCAGGCTTGTCTACTCCACACCAACAGCAAGAAGGTATGTATAAACATTTACCTATCATAGGCCTTCCTAATATTGAGCACGAAGAGTTCTATTAAAACTGAATTGACATAATAGGAAAAAAATCCTAGCTTTTTCTGTTGGATAACAGTTTATAAAAAAATAGATTAAGATATTAAAATATTTCACCAATTCACTTGTTCCCTTATGAATATATATATATATATATTCGCTTTCATATCTGGTTTGAAAAGAAGAACCTGACCAGCTAGGTGTCCGCACTGTCAATATGGAGAGAGTCGATTTATCAACAAGAACAGTTTACGTACCCTCAACACAGGTAAAATGACTACTAAAACAAATACATTTGAACCAGGTATCAACTGCAACAAAACACAACTCATATGTGGAAACAAAACGAAGAGCAAATAATATCCGAAACATTGAGTAAATAAAAAAAAATGATCATGCATAAGAAAAAAAACGAGAAAATACCATTATGTCAACAAATTCATATTCCGAGCTCATATTTAATAAAACTAGGCCAAACTATGACGAAAACAAATATTTACTGAAAAAAATACTGAAAGGATAAATCAGGTGTTGCGAAAGAGTAAGCGTCTTCCGCTTTATCGAAGTCTAAAACCATGTAAATTGTTCAGTTCAAATAAGAAATGTCAGGTTCTCAACTGAGAACACCGTATTACATCACGGATCCAACAGACAAACAAACGAATAGTTAGGTTATAAGCAAATATGTCCCATTAACCAAACGGATAAAACACAAACCAATATTTGAAATCAGAAGACATTTAGATACAGTCAATAAATGATTGTCTAATATCAGGAGAGGGAAATTCTAGGTTATATATAATGTAAAGGATTGTTAAAAAATAAGGACTTTAAAAAAAATCACGGAAACACATTCATCAACTAGTATTTATCGCTATATTGCTTGTCAGTATTTGTCCAAATCTATTTTGACATGTAAACATAATATGCAGAAGATGATTGAATTAAAAAAAAATAATCTGCGGGTTGGTAATGCCAATAGAACAGGAAAGATTTTAGTGTGAAGTTTGGATGATTTCTCGGTCACTTTCATCAGATGACTGACCAGTGTGGAGCGTACTAGTGCTGGTGTACGATGTGTCTTCCTTAACCGTCGCGGAGGACAAATACTAAATAGGGACGAGGGGGCCACAGACTCTAGCACAGCTTTGACCAAGTGTGAAACAGAACGTAGCTGAATTGAGTACAGTACATTGTAACCATCTGGTTCCTTTTTTTACTCTATAACTTATTTACCATCTTGTCACACTATTTTCGAGCTTAGTGTACATATGTGTATAGTACATCAAAGAAGGTGATATATTCTTTATCATTTTGTACACTATGTACGTCAGTGCTAGTGCGCTCCCAACGGGTCATTTGCCTGATGAAAGTGACCGTATAGTCATCGAAACAGCACACTCTAATATACTCTAATGGTAGTGTTATAAGAACTATTATATTGAACTGACTATGGTTACCGAACATCTTTGAGTTAAGTTTTCCGTATTATAAGCTACTTATCCGCATTTTCGTTCCTAGATTGGAGATCTAATTGCAACATCAGCAAATTTTCCAAAAGGAATGACGAGTTCACAAAATAAATAGTTGTTTTCTTTGTTAGGACATTCAATATAAATAAAGTAAACAGCGATATTTGTTCAATAACATGTTACTCGTTTTAATCGTCCACGATAATCCCAATTCGTGGTCTGTGCAACGTTTTAATTAAAGGAATAACATATCCCTTGACGTCAAAGCAGTTGTATATTGAAATTTCTTTCACGTATCTCGATAAGGATTTGAATGTGATATATATATATATATATATATTTCTATTCCTTATAGAAGTTGATTTTCTTCGATTTGTAGTTCCGAGCTTCCTTTAAGGACAGAGACCCGACAAGGAAACTGTTCTTTGTGTCTCCTTTCCTTTCAAAGTACAAAATGGTCTGTACTTATCAGATGTATGGTTTGCTCTGGATTCTGGGGAGATATAACCCAAAAGATTTTTGTCAATGCTTGAATGACATTATCCTTCCTCAAAGAACTTTGCTGCAGTACAAAGAATACCGATCAGGTCTTTTCAACTTCGATTCCTGGTTCAACAATGGACGTCAGGGACAGGAAAGCGGAACATACGAAGGTACGTATGTTTTTTTTATTTGCAATAATGGTATAGAAACTGTGCAATGTGTAGATATCACTTGATAGAAGTACTTGCCGATGTCATTGGTAACCAGTTCAATATTCACCTTTTTGAACCTATCGGATGTCTTATCAATTTTATCTTTGTGAACAATTTTGATCGTCATTGTAATCGACAAACTGTCTTCCATTCTCAAAAATCAATTAACTGAATGTCCTTATGACAAAACATGAATCTACCATATGGCCGACTTATGAATATGTCGTCTCACAACCGTACTGAGCCATAGTTGAATCAAAGGTTTGACATCTTTTCTCTCTCCTTTCCTCGTCAAGTTCATTGTGTTTGGTGTCAAACAAATCTTCGATAGAATTATTACCAGATAAAAATATTAACCATACTAGCATAAGTATGGAAACGTTGACCTTTGAACGCATGAAAATGTTGCTCGAACTACTTTTGCCAAATACATAGACATATGATTGCATGATTGCATTTTATTTCTTATTTTCATCAAATAATACACAAAAATAAGATTTTCAATCAGATTAAATACGATAATCCGCAAATATGTTTCTGTATTTTTAGGTTACTATTACACTTGAAAAGGGAAAATTAATCACAGTGGTTCGCTCATTAAATCCCCTCCCGTCAACTTTTCCGAAGTCATTATGTCACTTACCAAGAGGGAAGCGCCCCACAAAATATATTCGTAGAGGAATTGCTCCATAAAATGTGAACGTCAAGTAAAATCCAAAAGATATACTCACAAGAACAGAAACGCACAAAGCCAACCCTACCCCCTTGCAAGTACACCTGAGCCGTTATGAAATAATTGAATATCTGGTCAGGTTTTGCATCATGAATGTTCCTTCTCGACAACCTGCCCTAAAATTAGCCAAGCGTGACGATGTCATTGTCTGACTTTGTGAGCTTCGTTAGTCAAAACCACGCGGCTTGATTAATCCAAACTGGATTTTCCAAACGAATAATTTTAACGGATACTCTAAGTTCAGCCAGTTTAATTTTCCGCGTTGGCATTTTGATTTCGCCATTGGCCGAAATGGCACGCTTAAAGGTAGAGCAATGCTGATGAATAGTTTTAGCCAAACTCTGTCGCACGGCTGTTTGGCGTAGCCCCGTGTACAAGTAACCACCTCTATGCACGTGTGCATACTGCTGGCTTAGTTTCCGATCGTCCCAGAAGCGTCCGTAACGACCGCATGACTTCTATTCATAAACGCGTTATATAAATATTGAATGTTTATTGATAACAATTTTTAATCATTTTTGGTTATGCAAAACAAAAGCAACAACTTGTTCAGAAAACTATAGACATTCTTTTTTAAACGGGTTATGCTTTATGTACGGCTTTAGGTTACGTTTATATTGATTCACTCCTCTCAGTAACATTGATGAATAGTGCATTACATTCGTTCCATGTTGTTTCTGGTTTGCCAGTCGTATAACTGAAAATTTCATCTGGTTCCAAAGATTACTTATTTTTCAAGTTCTAGATGAAATACCAGAGTGGATAGTTTCAATACTCCAGAAAAGACAGGAACTTTCATCTGACGTCGATATCCTTGATGATGGCTGGACCCCGATGCATTATGCAGTTCTTACTTGTAATGATACTTTGATCAAACAGTTGCTGGAGAAAGGTGAAGGACATCTGAACGACAAAACACTGACTTTGCTACCAAACTTGATACTTAAAGAACTGAAAAAACATTTTCGGTTTGAGTATGAGTTTGTGTACAGTCATATAGAAGGTTTCACTCCTCTTATGCTTGCAACGTTCACAGAAAATCAGTCTGCGATCACGCTGTTGTGTCAAAGTATTGCTATCATGACTCTGCTCAACGGAAAAGATGTAACGGATTGCCTCACACTAGCATATTGCGAAGACACAGAAAGGAACCTCAATGGCGCTCTTTGCAAGAGGGGAAAGGAGTATTTGTTTACAAAACACGAAGTTGACGTCAACTTGCAACCATTTTACCGAAAAAAAGACCCGATGAGAAGAATATTGTTTGCTTCCTCAGATGATATATTAGAGCAAGTTGAAGAGGACTTTCTCACTGTCAGCATCATTGCTGGAACAAATGCTTTCAACAGCGATTATTTTATTCCTGGCAATACATCAGACGATATTTCCGAGGAAGAGGATATACTCTTAGCAGAAACAATACAGTCACATTCTGACAGGTTGTGGAAACGTCACAGCTCTCTTAACGGTATAACGCCAGGCCATATTTCGTCAGTACCGGGTGGGCATACAGGGTATGAGCTGAACGTCATTGTCATCTTGCATAGCAATGACAGAGAATTGATTCCTGCATCTGAATTGCCCTTCCAGGAGTATCTGTTAACAGATCGCACACGTGTTTTAGTTCATGTTGTAGAAGGTTCTTTCAAATTCGGTCCAGGAACGGCACACGTTCAGGTTGGTCGTAGCATCGATTACAACCAATTCCGTGCTACTCTTGGTATGTTTGTGGAGAATAACAAAAACGAAATAGGAATCTTGACCTGTGGACATACTTTCCTGGAAGAATTTTTCAATAGCGAAGGTAAATACTATGATAAAACGTTTGATGAAAACTCATCAGCAGATTTGTTGAACGTCTACAAAGTCGAAGAAAAACGTCTGCAAGTTTTTGATCCAGACAAAATCTCAGACACTGAACCAGCCGGTGAGGATGCGATGGAGTCGGAGGATTCCTATCAGTTAGTATTTAGTATATTTAATGTTTTTTGTTGTTTTTTCATCATCTGATTCGATTCATAATCATTTTATTTTTCATCTTTAAGATAATGATTATATTTCCAAATACGGTGAAGTTTTGTCTCGGTCAGATTTATGTAGATCTCGCAGAAATATGGCCAACGATATTTCCCTGGAAATGAGTGTGATTTGTCGACTTCACTAATTTTACAAACGATAAGTGCACACCGCTTGAAATCAAATTCACATAAACGTAAAAGCATACCTGTATTCTTTATGAATTTGCAGGATTTGTGGATACGTGAAAAGACTGTTATTACGCCCAGACAAAGATATTGGTATCGACGCAGCTCTCATTCTGTTTCATCGCGACAAATTCTCTAGTGACCCACACTTACACGCCGAACATTCCATGGCTGATTACTGGTGTGCTAGATCAAGTATGTAGTCAGTTAATGCAAGTTGTATACGTTATTCAGTATACACGGGTTTCCTGATTGATAACTTCTAGTATAATGGTATAGTAAGTTCTTTTTCAAAATGCACCCAAAATTATAGATTTGAAATTCGCGAATTAACCACTCGAATGTCCTTATTTCGTTAAAATATGTTCTTCTACTTGACTTTTAGTGTTGTGTATAGTATAATAAAATATAATATCAAGAGACAATAACTGATGAATAGAATCAGTTCCTCATCTCAGGTTTGTAATCGTACGTCCTCTATCAATTTCCTGTTTATCTTCTATCGGCGATTGACAGAAAGTTACAACAGATGGATTTAAGAAAGATTTATTGAGTCTATGTGAAGTATTAGGTTTGTTAGTCGTAAACCGCGTTCGGATGTCGTCTTTGAGGAAGAGAAAACGCTTACTCTTTCGGAAAAATGAGAATGTGAGACGCTTACTCTTTCAGAACAAATGCTCACATTCTTCTTTTTTGTATCCCTCGTTGGACAAGAGACACCAATTAATAGCACCTTTTAATACAAATTAAGAGTTCGATAAAGAAGAACCAGACAATTCATTGAATGTCAAACATATGTGTTCCAGAACATGTCAGTGATTGTAAGGGTCTAAATGTGGAAGCCTAGAAGGCAACTGAATAAAGTAGTAAGTTATCAAAAGCCAACATCTAGGTGAGGAAATGTACTTTCCAATTGATTCAACATATTTTAAATAGTTGTTGGATTTCACAACATCACACAATGTGCGATGTTTGCACAATGTGAGCACGAATTGTGCACAATGTGCGTGTACGATAGGAAAACTAAACTAGACGAAGAAGGCTATCGCACACCTGTGTAATTCTCTTGTAATTGAAATCAAGGTAGAATATTCCTTATTCTGTGAATTTCGCAAAATCTTTTTGTGTTTTTTTTTCTCTTCCAGCTGTATCATGTAGTAAATAAATATACAAATATTTCATAATTATTTCAGGATTTAAAACATTAAACAATCTGCAGTTCAATACCGGCGAAGAAATGCAATGTGCACGACCCGTCGACGTCTTCAAAAGTGGTATTGGAACAGGACTATCTAAAGGAAAAATTGTTTTCCAACAAGCAAGGGGCGAGGTCAGAACAAGTGACAGTAGTTTTGAGCCGATGCAATTCAGTAATTGTAAGGCAAAACATGTAATGAAGGGACAACTTGTAGTAGTGCATACGGACGCATTTGCACCGTTCTTTGCTTTGGGGGATTCGGGCTCTGCTGTATTTGCTTTAGATTCCCCGTTGAAATGCATTGGAATGGCTATAGGTTGTATGAGTAAGAGTTTTGAAACTCTTGTCACCCCAATTCGTCCGCTCCTGGAAGAGCTGTCAGATGGGGACACCAGGTACAAGTTATTATCATTTCCAAATGTAGGCAATTCACAGACCCATGATTCTTAGTAATCGTCAGATACATTTCATCGGAAAACCATATAGGGGATTGGCAAATATGAGGTTTGTTATCCTTTGCTCACAGACATCGGAGTGAAGGACTATTTTCCACATTTACTGCAGGCTTCTTTAGGTATGGTTTTGTTGTCGGATCATTGGTTTCACATCTTAGATAAGCAACGGGAGCCCTATATCGAATCTAATGTGTGTCAAGCAAATAGCACACCAGTAAGAGCATGGGTACACATGTTGTCGAGGGTAAGTCAAACATTAACCCTGTCACTTAGCAATTCTATTAACTATTTGATGCGATGAATTATTTGATGCGATGAAAGTGAACGTGTACAGGCATGCAAATTTCTGATCGTGACAAGGATGAATTATTCTACATGATTTCGGAATGAGAACAAAATTACCCCACAGCAGAACATCCATCTTACTATTTTGACTTTAGAAACGGTATGATTGATACATTGTTTGAATGGAAGCAATGCACGTTTATTTCAATTCCTGTTCATATTTTTAATTCAATAGAATGATGATTCTGTCAGTTTTATTGTCAACGAATCATCCTAAAACATAGTGGCGATGGCTTTAAAATCTTCTTCCTTTATTTCTTTTGAGTGAATCCGTGTGGTCTCGGTTTTACTAATTTTAGTTCGTGCATGAAATTTTATATTTATAAATTTGTACACTTCATAATCAATATTTTATATTTGATGTTGAGAGCAGTGATGGAATTCAAATGCAGACTAAAATGTTGATAAGTTGTTTAAAACATAACTGAATGTAATAACGGTTTCTTAAACACAATCATGTAACCTTTGCAAGTATTGTCATATAAACACTACAACTTGATGCGTTTTGTAACTATAAAATGTGTTATGTCTAAACTGTATGAATATAGAGGTCTTATGTGCCACAGACCACCATGACTTTTTCTATATTGATACATTCGTATGTTCGAAAATTGAAAATAGAATATATTTTGAGACAGTAGAAGACAAAAACGAGTTTAGTTTAAATGCATTCTATTTTTAAAAGAATGCAAAATCGAAAAAACATATCCAGCCTGATTCATTAAAAACAGCAATTATAGATTTTGCAAATGAGAGGTGACGTTAAACATGTCGAATTACCAAACTAAAAGATATATGATATATTATCACTACTTCCGGTTTACAGATCAGTAAGTTTTTCATGTATAGAAGATTTAAAAGCACATTATCTCTGACACCAATCCATTCTGTTTGTTTTTTTCTCTTTTGAAATATGTCTCGTTTTGTAAAATTTCGATGATTCAGACCTCCAAGTTTATCATTCATCCCACATCTCATAATTACATTCACCAACCGGTTATATTGTGATTGATTTATTGCATTTATAAGCATCCGCCTTTAATGGTCAAATATTGAAAATTTACAAAATTGTTTGAACTAACTGATTTGTCCATCTCCCCAATGGTATTTTCTATTAATGTATGCCAATCTTGATTGACTTGACTCGCACTCGTGATTTCCACAAAACCAGCTAATAAATACCAACAAGGCAACTTAATCATAAAATGAATTCTATTAAACTTGGGCAAAATATGAACAAAGGAAAGATTTACACAGAGACTCCTGAAAAAATACAAGAAGAATAAAACCAGGTGTTCCGAAGGAATAGGCATCTTCTTCTTCACCGACGACACCTGTTAGGTAAACCTTAGTCAATTCAAGTAAGTAATGTCATGTTCTCAAATGAGAACAAGGTATACAATAACAAAACCAACAGGCTAACTAACAATTATTAAACACTTCCAGCTTCATATCTCACAAAGAAATATGAAATTACTTAATGAGATTAGTATGTATACCGAAAACAATCCCCCTTAATTTAAATCAACCTGCATATATTGAAATCCTGAGCTACGAATTTGTCCGCCAGTTGACGACTCTGGGAGAAACTTGTTAAAATTGGAACCGGCACCTGAATATCGAATCATCTTCGAGATTTCCAATTCTTGTCGGTATATACGATGGGCGTTATCAATATATTGTCCGTATATATCTGAAAGTAAAACTAAACGATTTGCAAGGTTTTTGTGACAGGTTTTGATGAGCCCTTCGATAAATTAAGCCACATATGAAAACAAAAATAGTTCCTATAGGTATTTTGATAGTCTGTTGGAAGATCTTACCACCAAATTCGACGGAGATGTTGTCAACCAGAAACTTGATCATTTTATGGATTTCGTCCTCCTTATGTTTCTTCTTTGAATTCGATATATGGGCAAGAATGCGTTAATGAAATTTTAATGTCAAGTAGTGTATCCAATATAAAACAAAAAAAAAACATGCAAGTATGAAGAATAAACATTGTTTAAATATTAAAGTTGGTTTATTTTTATCGTCATATGGAAAAACAAATTGATCTAATTGATTAAATAACAAGGAAGCAGCACAAGTTGTACGCCGCAAGTGGATACATTACAGGCAAAAATGTGACATTTCTGCAGTAGTGAAACTCCGAGTGGTATTTATTAAATGCCTGAATAATTGTGGTGCTGTAAAAGATGTTAATCAACTACAAAATGATTGGTATATCGATAAAAAAACGCTTGTTTTGTACAGGATTTGATTAAAGCTGCAAAAAATAGGATTGAAAAAAGACCAATGTACGTAACTTTTCGCGTCAACAAACGTTACGTGCACGTTTCCCGCAGTATTGTTTTTGGAATCGCATCATTTACACGGCATTTGCAAATTTAAGAAGGGTCAACAAAAGGTACGATATGATTGCTGTAATTTTCATCAATCAACTGGAGTTCGGAAAATATATCAGGTAATAAAATATGATAAAGTTTCGTGTCCAAACTACCATAAAATACCCCCTCTCTTTGGAACAGTTGTATTTCTGTAACAGATCACGTAACGATAATGTTTTTTGCGATATTTCGACCCGCTCCCAGTAACGTTAACACGTAACAATGCAGTTTCCAAAATAGCGTCTATCGGTGTAGAGGAACTCGAGGAGACCACGAAATCTGGTAATTTTGATCACGTAACGAAGTGTTACGCACTCTTTCGGAGTAAAATATGATATTCGATAATGTTGTGTGATTTTTGCTTTGTGTTTGTCAAAAAAAAAAAATAAAAACAAAAAAAAAAGTAGATCTGGTATTTGAAACAGGTTTGACCGCACGATAGCGATTTTTTGGTGGGAACGGTTTCCGTACGTCTCCTTGACCCGAAAATAAATAGTTGCAAGTTTTTGATGTCAATGTTACATGCGACTTCTTAAACGATATTATATTTGAGATATGTGGGAGTATGATTATAATTTATATACAGATAGTGTATAAGGGGATTTTTATATGTTTTTATAGCATTTCTGGTATGCTTTATGATTCATATTTTCCGTGTCCATGTTACATGCAACATATGTATAACTAATTAATAAATGAAATGAGAAGGTTGCAAAAATATTGATAGAATTTTCTTTATACGACAGTAACATAATGAAAAAAATAACTTTTCTTGTTGACCAAGAACATAATTTTGATTATATTTATCTCTTAATAATTGCATGTGACATTGACAGAGGAAACCTTTTTTCATAGAATTTCTGAAATACATTATAAATTTTAAAAATGCATTTTTTAAGCCAAAATTATGTACAATGTTTTGAGGTAAACAAATCTAATACCAAACTTTAAACAGGTCAAAGAACCATCAATATCAGTTTGGGAATAGTGTCTATGTTACATGCTCTAAATTCATTAATTGTCTTTGTTCTTAACTGAAGTAAGTTTCAAAATGATTTATTTGTTACACATAGAAAGACACCATTTACAGTTATACTTCAAACAAAATTTGTAGGCTTAGGAATATTTTTTTTCTTGCAATATCACACTTATGGTTACATTAGCTAATTATTGCCCATCTTGTTATGAAATATGCTCCTGTATAATTTACAACCATATCCTTGTACCGCCGTTCACATTTTTGGACAAAAACTCTCATTTTTAATGAGTATAGGTGTCGTATAGAGTGGACAAATGAAATATTCCCCAGATGAAGACTATAAAACAACGTTTAGTTTCATTATATGACATGTATTGTTAGCCAAGTCCTTATTTGTTTTGATAGATACAATCCTGCATTATATCAGTCTTCCGTAGGAAGTTGTACACTGCAAGAATGTTTTCAATATACGGCAAATAAGATCACTATTGTTTGGAAAACCTCTTGATGTTCAAAAAGTATATAAACATTCTGATTAACCTCAAGTAGTCATTGAATTCAAAGATTTATTTCGAGTTGAAAGCAAATGTATGATAATCATTTGAATTATTCAAACCAACTACTTGAATAATAAACACGTGTGCAAACGCTTTAAAAGTACAGTTGTGTCATTTGTCTATATCACGTACATTCTCGATGATCTATGCATGGTACAAATTTAAAAACACACGTGGTCGAGCAGCTGATCATATTCTTTTTTATCTACCTTCGGGGAATCGAACTCCAAACCACTGCTGTGCTACTTGACCATACTATCTAAAAACTACATTGGCTGTGTTGCAGAAAAAAAACCCAAAAAACAAAAAAACGTAATTATTCAAAACCACATATTTTATTCAAATTCGCGAAACTCTTCTAGAAAAGAAATTCCTCATTTATTCTGATGTTGTAAAAAGAAGAATAAGAATTGAGTTTAAGTTTCTGAAATTAATTATTTCAAAGATTTCATAAAGAAAATCACATAGACATACATTCGGTTTTTAATCAATTTCTTTTCATTCAAAATATACTAATTACAAAAAGATAATATCGAAGAAAACGAAATGCTTAGCAATCCAAATGAATCAAAAGAATATCAATGATATCAAATGTAAATCGAACCAAATAAACACCTTACATATAAATGTGGACACCACAATCAAGAGGAGTTAAAGGCACATTTATCAATGCTAACTACGTGGAAAATAACATTCTGTTAAGCTCCTATTTCTCCTACATAAT